TGCCGAGCAGGGAGCCCGATGCGGGACTCGATCCAGGGACTCCAGGATCATGACCTGAGCCGAAGGCAGTCGCTTAACCAACTGAGCCACCCAGGCGCCTGTACTTTTTTTCCCTAAACTTAAAAATGCCCTTTATTTAAGACTTGGAGTTTTCAAATTTACAAGGTGATGGGTTGCCAGATTTGAAGAAAAAGAAAGCTGCCTTGTGCATTCAAAAAATAAAGCAAACATCGTAATTTAAATCTGTAATATATTAGCACAAATCTGAGAGAACAATAAATCCCAATGTCTCAAATGTATGACCATTCTACGTAGGGCTGTGAGCTTTTTTTTTTTTAAACAGGAAAGTGGTAATACTATAGGCATATTAATGTAAGAAAATTCTATTTATTTTGGCTTTATACCCTCTGTGCTTTGCTTCTTGTTTTTAGTCTATTTTAAAATGAATCTCAGGGTGTGTAGACATATATTATAATGTGTTCCTGCTGAAAGTTCTCTTTTAATGTCCCCATCTGAAATGAATCATAATCATTTCTCCAATAGCAACAGTTGTATGTGAGCTCCAATGAAGGGATTTCCCAAGTGTCTCTGCATCGCTGCCACATCTACGGTACAGCCTGTGCTGACTGCTGCCTGGCAAGGGACCCTTACTGTGCATGGGATGGCCATTCTTGCTCTAGGTTCTACCCAACTGGGAAGCGGTGAGTACCAAACATTCAGCTGAAAGTCAAAACTGATGTCGCCAGTCAAACAGTGTCCACATCATTAGAAAAAATTCTGTTGCCATGTTCTTTTAAAATGGCGCTAGAAGTAGTAGCTATGTTTAGCATCTTGTATAGTCATTGAGTGAAGTAAATGGCTACGCTTTATAACTTGAGATTCTCCCAGATATGTGAGAATACAGTACTTTGGAAACATCTGTTTCTCCTCTTAAAGTTCCTCTAGCAACACAATTCCCCACTGTGACCCAGCAAATATTTCAAGCATCATTTAACGTTTTTCACATTACCTGATTTTTTTATATGCTTCTGTATATCATTAAATCTCACCTTCCTAGGGTTTCCCTGTGCCATTTAATTCTCCTATAATCAGATGTTTGACCTAGTTCAGGCGACAGGAACATTGCTCCAAAATGGGTACGCTGAGTTGCTTTCAGAACCTTGATGACATGCATTTACCTCTTAGAATGGGGAGTGCATGATTGCTGGTCAGATTGAGAGAGTCAGGCAGTCTGAGGCTGAATGCCATTTATCCCAGCAAAGACTTAGATGAGAAACTCTGAGCCAGATTGCGTGAAGTTGGAACAAGCCACCAGTAGTGACATTGATTATAGAACAAAGAATATGCAGAATTTAGGGTCAGCCAAGATCAGAGCTATGGGTCGGTCAGGGGAGGTCCTACTGAGGGTGTGATATTTGAACAAGGACTTGAGTGTGATGAGGAATGACACCAAGGCATTATCTGGGAGAAGAGCATACCAGAGAGGAGGACCAGAAACTCTTAAAGCTGGAGTGTGTCAAGATTGTTCAAGAAACAGCACTAAGACTAATGGGGCTATCATGGAATGAGAAAAAGGAAGGATAGGAAGAAGTGAGGTCAGAATGCCATATGACATAGGACTTGGTAAGTCATTGAAGGCTTTTATTTAGCATGAAATGGAAAACTACTGAGGGCCTTTGAGCACATGAATGATATTATTTGACTTTTGGTTTGAAAAGCTCATCTGGTTGGGGTTGGCTGGGATTGCAGCCCTGGGGTAGGCAGTGGAAGGGGGCAGAGGAGATAGAAGTTGCAAGGCAATTAGAGTACTGTGCGTTCCAGGTGAGATATAATGGTGGCTCACACAGGAATGATAGAGGTGGAGGTGGCATAGGGTCTGATTCGGGATAGAGCTCAGAGAATGTGCTGAGATGTGTAAGATGTTAGAGAAATAGAGGACTCAAGAATGAACCAAGTTCTCAGAACTGATCATATGTAGATGTAATTTCCTGAGAAAGAGAAGACTAGGGGAGGAGCAGGTATGTGGAGGGAAAGATGATGTTAAAAGTGCCTATGAGATATTCAAGTGGAGAGGTTGAGTAGATAGTTAGAAATATGAATTTGGAGTACACATGTGTGGCCTGGGCTGGGCAATTTGAAAGTCATTTGTTTTTAAAGGCATGAAATGTGAAGAGAACTCCCATTCTTTAAACCAGTAGTCCTTAGTATCTGTGTTCAAAGAATCGTGTTCTTCTGTGTCATTTTAAGATTTAGGCAGAAAGTCTCTAGACTCTTTTGATTTCTACATGGAATTTTTGGACCTCATTACCCTGAGATCTTCCATTTGCACTGGACTGGAGATCTGAACCTGGACACAAAGTATGAGGAAAGCACATTCCAAATGTAATCTCAAATACATGATTTTTGTAGCCATTGCTGGTAAATTTTAACCATACTTGTTTTATACTCCCAATTACGATAGCAGTGATATTTAAAAATTATTACCATAACTATTTGTAAGGCAATACATTTTTCTTAGGAAAGACTTCTAAAAATTGTCATATCTAACACCCGGAATTCAGTCTTCTATTAAACAGATTTAATGCTAAAGGGAGCTGAAGCACCACACTTTCTAAGAAAGAAAGTGATACGAGGATCACAAAGTGAATCTTGCCATATCCATTTAGGCTTTTCAGCCTCTCCTGTAATGTGGAGGAATTGGAGATTGGTACTCCTTCCCTGCAAAACTTCCAGACCTTGGCTTTGGTGAACAAGCATTTTTATTTAACAAAGAATATTTCTCAAGTAAAATTCCATACTATATATAGACTATCATTGCATATTTGAGATTTTCTTTTTTTACATTTTAACATTTCTGCTAAAATATGAGTTGACTCATTTGTTCTCATATTCTCCCTCTAATTACAACCCCAGTAATCCTTTCTAAGATGAGTAAAGGTAGTAGATTCCACACTGTCATCCTAATACCACAAATCATTATCTTTTTTATTTATTTATTTTTTTAAACGATTTTATTTATTTATTTGACAGAGATCGATAGTGAGAGAAGGAACACAAGCAGGGGGAGAGGGAGAGGGAGAAGCAGGCTTCCTGCCAAGCAGGGAGCCCGATGCGGGGCTCGATCCCAGGACCCTGGGATCATGACCTCAGCTGAAGGCAGACGCTTAATGACTGAGCCACCCAGGCACCCCTCATTATCTTTTTTAAAAAGTATTTTATTTATTTGGGTGAGACAGACAGAGATAGTGCAAAGAGAGCATGAACGGGGAGGAGAGGGAGAAACAGGCTCCCGCTGAGCAGAGAGCCAGATGTGGGGCTTGATCTCAGGACCCTGGGATCATGACCTGAGCTGAAGGCAGATGCTTAACTGACTGAGCCACCCGGGCACCCCCACATATCATGATCTTGATCATGTCCTTGTAAACAATAAAGAGCTGAAACTATCTTGTAATTTTTTAATGTCAATATCATGCCTGGTATGAAACCAAGTATCACAGGTTAGCTGTTAGAACTAATGAATGAATTCAGTAAAGTTTCAGGGTACAAACTCAACACACAAAAATCTGTTGCATTTCTATACATGAATAATGAGATATCAGAAAGAGAATTTAAGAAAACCATCCCATTTACAATTGCATCAAAAGAATAAAATACCTAGGAATAAATTTAACTAAGAGGTGAAAGACCTGTACACTGAAACTACAAGACACTGATGAAAGAAATTGAAGACACAAATAAATGGAAAGATAATTCACATTCATGGAGTGGTAGAATGATTATCATTAAAATGGCCATACTACCCAAAGCAATCTGCAGATTCGATACAATCCCTATCAAAACTCCAAAGGCATTTTTCACTGGATTAGAACAATCCTAAAATTTATGGAATCATGAAAGACCCAGAATATCCAAAGTAATATTGAGGAAAAAGCACAAAGCTGGAGGCATCATGCACCTTGATTTCCAATTATATTACAAAGCTATAATAATCAAAATAGTATGCTATTGTCATAAAAGAAGACACATAGATCCATAGAGCAGATTAGAGAGCCCAGAAATAAATCCATACATATACGGTTAATTAATTTACAACAAATAAGGCAAAAATTTACAACAGGGAAAAACAGTCTCTTCAATAAATGGTGCTGGGAAAACTGAATAGCCACATGCAACAGAATAAAACTAGACTACTATCTTACATTATAGATGAAACTTAACTCAAAATGGTTTAAAGACTTGAATATAAGACCTGAAACCATAAAACTTCTAGAAGAAAACATAGGCATTAAGGCCCTTGATGTAAGTCTTGATGATGTGTTTTTAGATATGACTCCAAAGCAAAGACAACAAAAGAGAAAATAACCAAGTGGGATTATATCAAACTAAAAAGCTTCTACACAGCAAAGGACATCGTCAACCAAATGAAAAGGCAACCTACTGAACGAGAAAAAATATTTGCAAGCCATAGACCTAGTAAGGGGTTAATATCCAAATACATAAGGAATGCATACAACTGAGTAGCAAAAAAGCAAGCAATCTGATTAAAAAGTGGGCAGATCTGAATAGGCATTTTTCCAAAGAAGCAGACAGATTGTCAGCATGTCATGAAAAGGTGCTCACTGTCACTAATCATCAGGGAAATGCAAATGAAAACCAGAAGACCTCACCTCACACCTGTCAGAATGGCTGTTATCAAAAGGACAATAAATAACAACTGTTGGAGAGGGTGTGGAAAAAACTTTTGGTGGGAATGTAAATTGGTGCAGCCACAATGAAAAACAGTATGGAGTTTCCTCAGAAAATTACATATAGAACTACCATATGATCCAGCAATTTCACTTCTGGGTATTTATCTGAAGAAAACAAAAACTATTTTGGAAAGATATATGCACCCCCATGTTCATTATTTTCAATAGCCAAGACATGGAAACAACCTAAGTGTCCTTCAGCAGATGAATGAGTAAAGATATAAACACACAAACACACACACAATGGAATACTACTTAGCCATAAAACGAATGCAATCTCACCATTTGTGAAATGGATGGACCTTAAGGGCATATGCTAAGTGAAACAACTCAGAGAAAGACATATACTGTATGATTTCACTTATATATGGAATTTTAAAAATAACAACAAACCAAGCTCATGGAGATAGAGAACAGTGGTTGCCAAACGTAGGGTAAGGGGTGGAAGAAATGAACAAAGGGCGGCAAAAGGCACAAACTTCCAGTTATAAAATAATTAAGTCATGGAGATGTAATGTACAGCATGGTGACTATAGTTAATAATACTGTATTGCCTATTTGAAAGTTGATAATAGAGTACATCATTTTTTTTTCATTTTTTTATTTTATTATGTTAATCACCATACATTACATCATTAGTTTTTGATGTAGTGTTCCATGATTCATTGTTTGCATATAACACCCAGTGCTCCATTCAATATGTGC